TAAGATATCGTAAATTTAAAAATTTGCATTTTCCCCTTACTTGTTAGTTCTTTTTTAAGCATTTATGAAATGGCATTAAAGATGAAAACCATTTTAAATCCTTTAGTTTACACAACATTTTACTTTCACTTATCTCTCGCTTTTAATTTCGATAAATTTTAATGTATTTTGTTGTATAATATCCAATACTTTTGCGATTAGTTTATAATATAGTGTAAAATGTATGACAATGTAGTGAACAATCGATAGACCACTACTTGGAGCCCATATGTGTTGTTCACATCATTTTATTGATAAATTGAATGGTTTTAATGAAAACCTATACGAATGTGTACTCAATGCTCCGTTAACTGGAATACAATTTCTATAACAAATGTTAGGCCAAAATGCAAAATAAAATCCAATTTAAGCGATTCCTGGGATGAGTTTTATAAATTCAGAGGTAAATTCATATGATAGAGAAATATGAATAAAATAATTGCATTGTTTGAGTGAAGAGCGGCTAAAATGATTGCTCACATAATTAAATCTCCAATCACTGGACCTATTGGTCCGTGAATGAGGTCCAAACATAAATAATAACTGTTTGCCGTAAAGCAGTGTAAGCCGTATAGTATAGGAAACTAAAGCTTTCATTTGCAACTCATTACACAACTGATAACATGGGTTTCGCCGTTCCGTTCAGTCAAACAAATATTTAAAAACTTCAAGAGAGGTAACGGTTTGTTATTTTGGGATTAGTAATAACAGTGCCGTTAACCGCACAGGTATACTATGGTATACTATGGTATGGTATGGTATGACACGAGGAAATGCATTCAATTTATAATCAACGCGTTTTGAGTCCAATCTGCGTCCGGTCTCCCATCCCCTCCCCCTTCGCTTTCGCACTCACTTTACTATTTTAGACACGAAATAAATTTATTCATTCATTGAAACGATAGTCAAAATGATATGTATTTTATATTTAATACTTTACTATAAAATTCGAGACAAAAATTTAATTACATATATTTATATTTATTACACGATATATCAATTTTTACATTGGGTTTCAGTTTGGGATTTGACTATAAATACAGTTAACTATTCTTTAAGACTAGAATTTTGTTGTTATATTGAAATACGAAATAACGCTAACCTTTCATTTACTTTAAGCTCGAATACAGTATATATTCATAGAAATGACACAAAATAATAATTAATTGGAAACATCGGTAATAGTAGAGCAGCACTCGGCCAACAAATCCTGGCAATTGATGGTATTGTCGGTGCATTTATTTTTATGTCTTCGCGGATCTTCAGGCGTCCACACCTTTGCGATCATAATATTTCCGTTTCGGTAACTCTTCTTCTCATCGCTTGTCCACGAAAGCGAATGACTTCCTATTCATTCACACAAACATACATTTCTAGTTTAAAAACATGTCATTAGTTATAGAAGTATTGAAAGCAAACCTAAATGGCATTGTATTATCACTTTCTTGGGCTGCTGTGCTATTTGTGCCTGAAGCGGATCAGTTGGGTGTCCGTCATTGTCGACTAATTCAGCCAAAAAACTTATGTATCCAATCGCTAGCCTTAATGTATCCACTTTTGACAATCGTTTCTCATAGGGAAGCGTTGGTATATGTGTTCTCAGGCCCTGATTTAGTATAATGTAAATCATTTTATTATTTAATTTTGTGAAATGAAAGCAAAGCCAAAGCTTACCTCAAAAGCATCATTAATTGATTGCATTCGTCGGCGTTCCCTAAGATTGGCGGCGTGTCTTTGCTGGACCTGTTGGTGCATCCCTTTCCTCTTGCGGTGCCTCTTCTGTCGGAAGTTTTCCTGATCGGGATGTGATCTCATGTCTGGCGAATGGGTTGGCGATGGATAAGGAGAGTCGAGGAGCTGATCACTGAAATAATCGGGCGATTGTGGACTCAAAAGACCCGATCCCGAGTCACTGACAGCGAGTCCGATGCCATTATTATCGCTATCATTATAATTAGCAGCGTTTGAGACAACATATGAGTCGAAGACACCTGAGCTATGGTTGAAAAGACTAGAATAGCTCTGATCTGAATGAAGAGCTAATGAAGTGAGTGGTGGTATAGAGAGTGGTGTAGTAGTGGTTGTCTGGCATAAGTGCTGGGAATGTAAGGACTGTTGCGAGTGCTGGTGATGACCAAAATGTTGTTCGAGGAACTGTCGGTTCACATTAGAGAGATCGATATTCTCCATCTCCAGAAGTAGAACTGCTGTACAGACTGTGCTTTTCCCACAACAATACTACACAACTCCGATCGTAAGACTCGTTAATTCTGCTCTCTTTTTATATATGAGAACTACAGCTACGGAATCGTCTTAAATAAGACTATAGCTATCGATGGTATCTGTAGTGCAATCGTATTGTTCAACAGTTATACCTATAGATTATAAATAGCATTAACGCCATGTATAGAACAAATCCCTGTTTTCATATCATAGACAACAATGTATTAAATGTATTATCGGCTCTTTGGTAGCGCACGCGTGCACTCCGACCACGTCTTTGGCCGACCCTTTCAATCGCACCTGAAGTCTATGGATGTATGGATTTGGTCGATGTGGTGGTGCACTGCTCTCATGCGACCGCCCTTCCCATCACTTCACAAAACTATATCTCATTTCCTATTCATTATTTGTTTCATTATTTACTTAAATAACTATTACATGAACTCTACAGCACTATTAAGAAGCAAAAAAGTTTATAATTGAAAGTTGTATCCAAACGACTCCTATTTAGCAAATCAATAGGCAATTGAGTGGCAGTCGTGTCGTGTGTCCGACACGTGTCCTCCACAGCTATATCTGAACTCTCGGCACAAATTGTGTTGACGTTTGTTTTAATAGTTTATCATTTAGTAATAAAATGTAATATTTGTATTGTTATACAAATCTCAATGAGATGTACAGTATGTTCAACACAACAGATTATGACAAATGTTTTAGTTTTTTAGAGATAATCTTTAAGCGTAGGATGTATTGAAAGCAATACCACTCACCTATTCTTCAATTGTCAAGTATTTGCTCACAATTATTGTCAGAGAGGAGTCAGACTCTGTTGAAGACACAAGAAATCTCAAGACTGGCGTCTTCTCGATATAGTTTTCAAGACGTTTTGAACACAACAATCATTATTTTGCTGTTTATCTTCTGATAAGTTTGTAAAACAAAACACAACTTAAAATCTTCTGTTGAGTTAACATAAAAACAGGTGTTTTAAAGTGATTTTTGTCGATAATTACAAGAGTTTGTATGAATTTTAACATAAATTCATATCTAATTTATATGTTTCACTTGAAATGAGTTGTATATTAATAAATGTTTAGTGAATTGTTAAGTAATTCATATGACATTATGGGCTCACATGTCAGCGGTTATGACAATTAGGCTGAGTTTGTCGGACGCGTGGCAGACACTGTCCCACTCGACTGTCAACTATACTCTACTCGTGTGTTTGCAATATCCAAACCATAACACCCCTCCTCCTCCCCACTGGCCTCACAAATAGTCTTTTGTTGTTATGATTGTCTCTTTTCGGGCACCAAATCAATGAGTAGTTGGAGTCAAAAGAGTGGGGGATATCAGAGACGGCACACGTGCGGAGAGAGCGAGAGCTCAGGAAATAAAAGGCACGTTATGTTTAACGAGAAACTAATAAGTGTGACACACGGGACACCTACTCTCCACACAAAACCCCGCTTACCATTCATTAACAGACCCATACTGTATGCCCCATACAAACCGATATTACATTTTAAGTCTTAAACAATGTCTTATTTCTATATTGTTTTATGATTTTTTGTCAAATTTTATTAGATTTTTAAAAACAATCGCGAAATACTTGTCAATTCGTATGGAAATTAAATATTTATAAAATAAATGCTTGTAAAGATTTTAAAATTACATTTATTTAGGTTTATAATACTTCTAGTATTATCTACGATAAAAGTACAAAAATATATGAAAATATTTATATTTTTAAACATGAAATATTAATTTAAAAATTAAAATGTTTTCAATATTCCTTTCATTGTAATTATATATGCGGTTAGAAATCAGAGTAAATAAGATTTAATATGAAATTCTTTACAAAATGAATTAGTTTTGGAGAATGAATGAAATGAATGGTAAGAGTGAATGGCATCCGACGACTGACCGACTCGTAAATGAGAGTAAAAGAGTCGTCAAACGTATGATTTGCATAATTGAAATTTGATATCCTTTTGATGGTATGATTCGTTTGAAATAACTTTAATCTGACTTTTGCTATAAAGACATCAACGCTTTTGTCAGCGCTTCTGGATTTGTAGCACAAAGTTTGCAAATCCGGGGGATTATAACCCCATTGTATTATTGTATGACTAACTGTGCGCCCACTTGTAAAGCACGGGTCGGAATGGTGTGCACCTGGAGGGAGGCTTAACCATACTATTCACTCATAGTTATTGTATTTTCTATTATAATAATATCGCAAACATAATAACAATCAATTTATAGTTTAAATATTTTTTTTCGCTTCAAATTTCTTAATCGCCGGCAAATGCTGTGGAAAGTGAACTCTCTTTTAACTCTCTTAACTAATACTCTCTATTAAACTCAATGTGTGCATAGCTTTCATGTTAACAGTATTTAATGTTCATAATGTTATTTCTGTTTATGAACAACAGTTATATAACTATAACAATAAAATTATAATCTCTTCTGGCAAACAATATATTGCATAAAATAATATATGTATAATAAAAATGATAAAATACATCAAATAATATGATTTCATACAACGAGCGCACATTTGGTGTCATTTAAGATGAATTTATGCAAAAAATTATTAAAACTACAGTATATTCAAGATTCAAATTGGGGGACAAATTGTGAGGTCTATTGTATTATCAATACTGTATTTAATGTACAGAACTGTAGTATAAGAACATAAGTTTAATGTGTTTTTGCTATAATTTAGTTCAGACTCTATTCTACTCTATATTTAATTCTTTCTTTTTTTGGTGAAAGCAAAACAACACCTGAAATATATGCCAGAATTTCCCAGCACTCGACTCATGCAATACATTATCGATTGAGGTCTCAATGTGTGCATCCATTCAATCGTCTTATTCCTGAAATATTATCTGTTTTTATGTTGCGATTAATAATTGGATTTAAAGTTTTTATATTAATATTATTAATGTTATAGTATTTATTACAAAAGTATAATTATTCATAATTTTTGTGGTAAAATATATAAATTACTTACGAGTTAGAGTTTTTGGAAATTATTTTTGAAATTAAATTTAAATTTTAATAATGAAAAATATTTATTGAATATTTATTTGGGGAGATATTTTGCCATGTTTATAATGTATTTATTAATTACAGGAATAATGGTAAAGAATTATTGTTGGTTATAAAGTAAAAATTCTTGAATTGGTTTTCATAGATGCTGCATATTAAATGTTATTTTATAAAAATGTTAAATACTTTATATGGATAAACATGGGTTTTTTTTAAAACATTTAAATTAAGTTGTAGATATCTAAATTACAATGTGTATAATATACATTAACATGTGACATTAACATTAAAACTAAAACTATACACTGCATATTTCTAGTAACTATTAGTTGTCAAGATTTTTAAAATTAACTATAACATTTAAAATTTCCAACTTAACGCGAATTGCCATTATTTATATGTTATTAAAGAATAAATACTAATTCATTTAATTATATGTAAAGTTTACTTAATGTCTACTTTTTAATATAATTGTAAAATGTTAGATTTGATAAACTCGTGATTTTAATAAGCAAACTCTTAACTCCGATGTGTCTACAAAAATGAGGAATATCTGTTTTCTATTGATTTTTTAAAGTATGAATATTAAAACTTTAAAATTTTAAAGATAAGTATTTAAAAAATGTTTATTTCGCAATTTGTTGGCAATTTGCCAATTACAAATTTGAATTTATTATATTATTAGAATTTTTATATTATTAAAATGAACACCTATCACAAAAATTAAAAATAAAATAAATAAATGCAAGAATCAGTAATTTAAACATGCACAAAAAAGTTTTGAATGACTATTCTAAACACTATATTAATTGCGAAATTAATGTTACAAAATTGATTACAAAAGTCATAAACAATATTTAATCTTTGATTGATATTTATAAAAATCTCTTTAAAAATTGATTTGAATTAAGCGAAGAATAAAACCTTGAGTTTTGCAATACATTAAAAATGTTGTATTTAAAAATTGCCGAAAAATCAAAATATTTGAAATATTGCTTAAATTTTTAGAGGCTATTGAAAAATGTGAAGTTTATAATGAAAAATAGACAAACAATTGGCCGTATATTGTAGAGTGTAATGCATTTAAGAGCTAATTGTGCTTTTGATAGAAGTATATGCCCTCCGAGTGCTCAGATCGCAGCTGTGTTTTTTCAAACCCAATAGAGTCTGAACACAGTTTTGAATGGATTGTCAATCTATGGGACAATACATTTGTAAAAGTGAACCAACACTGAAACTAATGCATGCATTCATTCAATATTTTTTCACAGCCGTTGGGAGAAAACATTAGTTAAAGCATTAGCCAATACTACGGACTTAAACTTACATCAAAATCAACACTTTTTTGTGATTTAAGCAAATATTTATTTTGCAAACTTTAAATTAAATATAATATCACGTTTGCATTCAATACTATAGAATCTATAGTACAGTATAGATTGTAATCGCGGTCTTTATGTCATTAATCATTTCGGTCATAAGGTTTAGGTTTTGCTTATAATTTGGACCACAATTTAAAATATTTAAATATCTTTCTTTACATCTTTAAAGTCAGAGATAAAATTAGTATTCAATGTATGACTGTTTACATCCAGTGAGAACTGGTCACAACTGTATATCATTTATCATATCAATGATAATAACAGAGCCTTGAATTGTAAATTCTCTATTCAAGAAGCAATGCTTTTGCAGATTATTAGTTATTACAATCCAATTGTTTAATAACTGTGAAATGCCATAAGACTGATGGCAACCATTATAACCCAAAGGCTTAATCCTCTGTCTCATAATATTGTGATTATTTTCACTTAAGTTTGAGATCTTTGCTAAGAATTGTCTGTAAGAGTAGTTGTAGTAATTGTTTAGTAATTCTTCAAATTTACAATATATTAACAGATAAGCAATTGATTGCTCAATGAATTGATTGGCAAATGACAGACTGACAAGTCTGATTGTGAGTGCCTGTTTTATAACTAATAAAATATGTGAATTATTTATCAAACAAATCTCAATTTTTTTAATCAATATCTGGTTTCTTTCATTTTTATAAATTCTTGATTTTTGAATCGTTTGATTATTGTATAATTTACTCTTGAATTCAAAACAAAATTCAAATAAAATATATTTTAGGAAATTTGTTCATTAAATTATATATATTTTCTTGTGTAAAATTTACTTAAAATGGATCACTTAAAAGATGTTAAGAATTTGGATAATCTGTCGCTTGTAATCCACGGACCAAATGACTTAAGACTCGAACAAACGCCTATAAAACAACATTTGGAAGATAATGGTAATTAAATTATTACAAAGGCTTAATCCTCTGTCTCATAATATTGTGATTATTTTCACTTAAGTTTGAGATCTTTGCTAAGAATTGTCTGTAAGAGTAGTTGTAGTAATTGTTTAGTAATTCTTCAAATTTACAATATATTGACAGATAAGCAATTGATTGCTCAATGAATTGATTGGCAAATCACAAACTGAGTGCCTGTTTTATAACTAATAAAATATGTGAATTATTTATCAGACAAATCGCAATTTTTTTTATCAATATCTGGTTTTTTTCATTTTTATAAATTCTTGATTTTTGAATCGTTTGATTATTGTATAATTTACTCTTGAATTTAAAACAAAATTCAAATAAAATATATTTTAGGAAATTTGTTCATTAAATTATATATATTTTCTTGTGTAAAATTTGCTAATAATGGATCACTTAAAAGATGTTAAGAATTTGGATAATCTGTCGCTTGTAATCCACGGACCAAATGACTTAAGACTCGAACAAACGCCTATAAAACAACATTTGGAAGATAATGGTAATTAAATTATTAAATGGATCACTTAAAAGATGTTAAGAATTTGGATAATCTGTCGCTTGTAATCCACGGACCAAATGACTTAAGACTCGAACAAACGCCTATAAAACAACATTTGGAAGATAATGGTAATTAAATTATTAATAATTATGATTTAATTGTTTAATTAATTTATTTCTCAATTAGAATGTCTTCTCGAAACACACAGGTATTCAAACTTAAACACAATTTTTATGTCAAAAATAGTTAAAATACAAGTATTTCTGATAATGAAAAGGAATATAAGAATTAAATAGAGAATATTTTATTGAAAAGTTGTGGTTTTTGTGGAACTGACATCCACTTAATGGACCATGGTCGTATGGCAGACTTCATTGTGAAAGAACCCCTAGTTATAGGCCACGAGACCTCTGCCACAGTCATAGCGATTGGTAAAAACGTGACAAATTTGAAAGTTGGAGACCGAGTGGCGGTCGAGACGGCTATTCCCTGTCAGAAGTGCGAGTACTGTCGAGAAGGCAAATACAATTTGTGTCCCATTTCTAACACTCAGGCCAGAGGTTTGCCACCAAAACACGGATGTCTTCGTCGTTATTACGCACATCCATCGGATTTCTTGTTCAAGTAATTGTTTTATGCATTTCATTACTGTATGATTAATACCTATATTATACTAAATATGCGAAAACAGACTTCCGGACAACGTTTCCTGGGAAGAGGGGGCGATGTGTGAGCCCTTCTCATGCATAGTCCACGCCTGTCGTCGACTTAACATAACCGCCGGTCAGAATGTGTTGGTCTGTGGCGCCGGTGCGATGGGAATGATGGCCTTCCTGTGCGCCAAAGCTTTCGGCGCCAATAAAGTGTTTATAACAGATCTGAACAAAAGTCGTTTAGCATT